ATACGTTAAAGGCGTCTACTTAATTAAAAGAATATAAAGAACGACTCGGTATATAAACGACCTAGTTACGTACTCGTAACGTTTAACCCGGAAAAAAACTATTATTAACACTTAGTACGACTTAATAAAGATAAACGAGTGATATACGACGAAGACGTTTTAAAAAAAAGAGGGGTTAAAACGACGTTTACGACGTTTTACGTAAACGAAAGAGAGGCCCTTTTTAGTTACGTTCCGACCGATTAAGTTAAAAAAGATACGACGATCCTTTAACTACTTTTAATATAAAGGATCCCCGGGCCCGAGTTATAAATAAAACCGTTTAAAGTCCGACTTATTATTATTAATAACGAAAAGGATACGGTTACGAGTAACCTACGACTTTATTACGATTCCTTTATAAACGGCCCGACTTACTACTTTATTAAAACTAGTAATTAACCGGTAAGTTTTTTTATAACCCCGTACGAACACTACTAACCGGTGTATAAATTCGTTTATAATATATAATAAGGTTAAAAACGTTTCCTTGTCCGGTTTTAACGAAAGGTCGATTACTTTAATAATAATACGAAAAACGATACAAACGTTTTTTATAAATAATGTAAAAACCTTCTTATAAAAATAATAACGAGTTTTATATCGTTAATATCTCGTCGTTACTTTACGTACGTAATATAAAGTTTAATAAAGGTTAACACTTTAAAGACTATTAACCGTATTAAAAAGATAAGTAATATACGTATAAACTTAAAGGTCGGTGGTAAACTCCGACTCGGGGTCGTCGTTATTTTAAATCCTTAACGACTCGTCGTCGGATTTATTATTTATTATATTACTATTCTCGTTTAAGTATATATCGTTAAAAGTATCGTGGTCCGACGTTTCGTAAATAAAACGTTAAAAAGTTACGGACAAGGTTTATATTATAAAGGAAACGGAAATAGTATCGTTAGTAATATACGGTCGAGTCGTAAAAGTAACGGGAGTTATAACGGGCCGAGGGTAATTAGTGTTTAAAAAACTTATAATTACGTCGTAAAACGTAAAGTTATTAAACGGTTAAAGGTGGTTTAAACCTAAAGGGTTTATAACTTAAATACGAGATATAAAAAAAGTAACCTTAAAAAACGGAATAAACGAAACTATAAACGAACTAAACGATAAACCCGAAAAGAACGGACGTGGTTAAGATTCTTTTACGAGTAGTAAAGTTACTTATTAAATAAACCGTAATATATTAAACCGAGGTTAAAAAGGTTTAACGATTATCGAACGACTCGTAAACGAATTAACGTCGATATACCGAACGATAATACGAACACGGACGTGTTTTTTAACCTTCGACACTACGAGTTAATTAGTATAAAAAAGGGTAAACGAACGACGAAACGAGTCCGTAATACGTCGGATAAACGTATAGTTTAATACGGTCGATAAACGTTAAATAATTAAGTTCGAATTACTTACGTTATTATACGAAAACGAAGAGATAAAAGACGAAGACTACGAAATTCTTACTATAATATCGTTTAAAGACTTATCCTTACTACGTTTATAACGTTAAAAAGTTTTAAAAAGTATAATAAAAAGTAATTAAGTAAGAACGACTTTTAAACGAACCGATAGTAATATAATAACGAATAAAAAAAAGTTATTAAAAAAACTCGACTAACGATTTATAAACGATAAATAATCGATAATCTTACGAAGTGTTAAAGGAAAAGGGAAAAAAAAACGAACGACGATTCTTTTACGAGTAAAAAATAATTTACTTAAAAAACGTTCGTTAAGTTAAAAACGGGTAAGGAATAAAAAGGGTAAAAACGAGTTATAACGAAGGTTTAACCGAACAACTAACTTTATACTCGTATACGAAGAAAGAACGATAAAGGTAAATAACGTTTATAAAAAGAACGATATTTACGAATAAACGTTTCGGGTAAAAATAACTTACGAACACTCGTCGTTACTTATTTACTATATAATTATTAATATACTTTACGAAAACGACGACGTTAAACGGTATTTAACCGAAAACGAGAATATTTATTTAAACATCGACGTTTAACGATAAATAGTCTAAACGTGTTTAACACTCCTAAACCTCGTACTACGTCGGTGACCGACGGACCGGATCATTATATAATATAAAAGATTATAAAGTAACTCGTACACGAATTAACGGACTATCGTATATAATTAAAGGACTAATTATAACTTCCGATACTTTTTACCCGAGTAAAAGTAAAGAGATTAAAGGAAGTCGTAAAAAAAACTAAGGTTTAGTTTATCGAAAAGGGAGGATAATTATTATAATCGATTCGTAACCGAAGACCACGAATTAAGTGACTAGACTTATATAATAAGGCGTAGTATAACTAGTCCCTAACTATACGTTAACACCACGTTAGTAAGAAACCTTTTCTCCTTAAATAAAAGGACTCCCTTCTTCTTACCGGAAAGAAGGGGTAAGAATTAGTCTTTGTTATAATACACACCTACCTTCGCCCTCGAAACTAATACTTTTTATTAACTAATCTATTATAAAGACTTATCCTACAATCACTTATAATATATATATCGATTTAATAATATAAGTTTTAATTATACGTGTATTTTTAATACGGTTAAGTAAATATATATAATACTTAAAAAAAAACCACCGTATTATCCGTATAAGTTAACGTAAAACCTTTAAAAAGTAATAAAAAACAACGATTTAACGGTTTATAAATCTTATAATTATTTAACGATATTATATAAACTTACGACGTTAAGTATACGGTTACTTTACTTTTTTAATAAACCGTTTCTTTTTTTATAAATATATTTTTTATTATTTCGAACCTTTAATTAATAATATATACTTTTTTAATAATATATAAAAGTATAAAACGTATCCTTTTTAAAGTTATAAGTAGTTTTTTTTAAAGTTAAAATATAAACTCTCGTAAGTAATAAAGTAAGTTAACGTTATAAATATACGGGGGGTAGGTAGGAAGGTTTTTAATAATACGTCGAGTATTTTTATTATTAATATTAACTTAAACGATTTAAAAGACGAGGTTATTAATAAGTAAGACCGTAATATTAAAGATTATATTAAACGTTTTTTTTCTTTAATTTAAAAATAAAAAGTATAATAAAATACGAGGTTTATTAACGGTTTAAATATACTTTTACACTTTTTTATACGGTTAATCGACGATATCGATAGTTTATAAAGACGGTATACGATACTTTATACTTAAAATATATATAAATATCCTTTAACGATATTTTACCGTTTATTTATAAATAAAAGTTTTAATAATATAAATAATAAGTAATTAATAATATAATAATAATTCTTTTACTTTAAATACTTATAACTTTATAAAAATATAATAATAAATATTATAATAAAAACGTTTTTTTAACCTTAAAATATATAAAAAAAACATTAAGTATAGTTAAAATAATAAAAAGTAATATTATAATATTAAAAAAGTATAATTTTAATTTAAAATTATTATACTTCGGTTATTATACTACTTTTATAAAAAAAAAATCGGAAAAATAAAAAAAGGTATTAAAAAACAATACGTAATTAATATATCTATAATATAAAAATAATTTTCTTCTACTTAATATAAAACGTGGTCATTTTAACGATATTCTTCGCGATACATTTTTGTAGCCTCACTTTTTTGATGCGCGGGCAATCGCTCGCGTTCCTGGCGGATTGATCACATGACCTATTTTAGTCACTTTTGTCACATGATCCGAGTTTTTTGTTGTACGATTATAGGACGTCCTGGCTCAGAGACCTGCACGTACCTACCTGCCGCTGTCTTACGACGCCTGCCTCCTAATTTCTGATACACCGCTGCAGCCCCTGGGTGGTCACTTCCCTTTTTGGTCCTATTGGGGCAATTCAGCGATAGGCAGTGGCACCTGCCCTGCAAAACCCGCCGCAACACGGCGCACTTGCCTCCCTCGTTACTGCCGCGCCGCAGCACGCCAATGCCCAAACAGCAAGCCCCAAAGAGGCAACTGCCACCCGCATGCAGCAAGGCCACCTCGCCAAAACACAACTCGTTCTCTTCAACGACAAAAAGGGTCGAGCACAAACACGGACGACAGACTCGATACATCCTCCATCCATAACCCCATACGACGTCCCCCCCGGCCACCCAGCGACAAGGGGGCTTTCGACGAGCCAAGGACCGCTTCGAAACACCAAGACCACGAAAACGTCCTCGCCAGGGCCTGCCGCGATCCAGATCCCCCAGACGGCGCCCGCGGAAACGGTTTTGCGTTTCCTTTGTTCTGCTTCTGCCCTTTTTGTCACTGCCTCGCCCGTGCTGTGTTTCTCTGCCTCTTGCATTCCTTTTCGTATCGTTCTTGGCTACTCTTGGCTTCTTGGTTGGGTTTTTGCCGTCTTCCTGCATCTGCTCGACACTAGGACTCTGCACCATCTTTTTGTCATTCTGTCCTCTGCCTTTTTTTTTACTTGTTCATCTTTCCTCTTCGTTTTGTTCCCTCAATTTGGTCTGCCTGCATTGCTTTCGGCATCCGCCCAGGACGCCTCATCTTTTGTTTTATTGCGTCTCCTCCCTTTGCAGTCTGCCAGGTGTCGGGCCCATCCCTTTCCGCACGAAGCCTGCCCAAGCCGGCCACCAAGTCCACGACCAAGAGCTCATCTCCCTGTTTGCTTCAAATCTGTCGTTGTCTGCTGGTGCCAGCTCGCGTCGGTCCCAATGAGGCTGGATCTCGGGTCTTACTACAGTGTTCTTTTCTTTCGCACCCACGTTGAACTTTGACGCCGCGTCCATCTTCATCCCTGCCCTTTCTCCCTTTCGATTGGTATCTTACACCTCAAACAGGCAGCATCGAATCTCGTGCTCCCGCGGTCCGACCGACCTTCTCTTTCCGCTATCCTCTCTCCCCTCTCCTTTCTCCTCTCTCCCATCTTGCTCCCGCTACCACGCCCTTCTCCTCCTTCTTGACACACCATGAAGCTGTCCGCTGCGCTGCTGGGCCTGGCCGGCCTGGCTTCGGCGGCTTCGTCGTTCCGGTCGGTCCACCGCAACCACGACACAAACGACTACTATGTCCTCCACCTCGACCCCGAAACCTCCCCAGACCAGGTCGCCCTGCACCTCGGCCTGACACACGAAGGCCAGCTCGGCGAGCTCGAAGACCATCACGTCTTCTCTAGCGACAAAACGGAGCACGATGTCGTCAAGCGCGAGCTGACGGAGAGAAAACGGCGGAAGCGGGACCTTCCTGAACTGGCCGACCGCAACGCCCTGGACGGCGTGCTCTTTGCCCAGAAGCAGGCCCTGCGCAAGCCGTGGGAGAAGCGCGTCGTCCCGCCGCGGGTTGGTCCGTCGCTCCCCGCACTCCAAACCAAGGCGGACACAGTCAACCCTGCAGCGTTGGCCAAGCTCAACAAGGTCGCCGACACCTTGGGCATCAAGGACCCCATCTTCAAGGAGCAGTGGCATCTGATCAACACACTGTATCCGGGCCACGACGTCAACGTCACCGACCTCTGGCTGGAGGGCATCACCGGCCAGAACACCACCGTCGCCATTGTGGACGACGGGCTCGACATGTACAGCGACGACCTGAAACCGAACTACTACGCGGCCGGCTCCTACGACTTTAACGACAAGAACCCCGAGCCGCGTCCCAAGCTCTCCGACGATAGGCATGGCACGCGCTGTGCTGGCGAGATCTCGGCCGCCAAGAACGACGTGTGTGGTGTTGGCGTTGCCTTTAACTCCAAGATTGCCGGGCTTCGTATCCTCTCCAAGGCCATATCGGATGCCGACGAGGCCGTCGCCCTCAACTACGACATGCAGAACAACCTCATCTACTCCTGCTCCTGGGGCCCACCGGACGACGGCCGTAGCATGGACGCCCCCGGCATCATCATCCGCCGCGCCATGCTAAACGCGGTCCAGAAGGGTCGTAACGGCCTCGGTTCCATCTACGTATTTGCCAGTGGCAACGGTGCTGCCCAAGAGGACAACTGCAACTTTGACGGCTACACCAACAGCATCTACAGCATCACCGTTGGCGCCATCGACTACCAGGGCAACCACCCATACTACTCCGAGAAATGCTCCGCCAGCCTGGTTGTTACCTACTCCAGTGGCGGCGGCGAGGCCATCCACACCACCGATGTCGGTACCAATGCCTGCTACAACCAACACGGTGGAACGTCGGCTGCGGCGCCGCTGGCGGCCGGTATCTTCGCGCTCGCCCTGCAGGTTCGGCCTGACCTCACGTGGCGCGACATGCAGTACCTCGTCATGCTCACGGCTGTGCCTGTCAACACCGACGATAAGGACTGGCAGAAGACTTCCATTGGCCGCTACTACAGCCACACCTATGCCTACGGCAAGGTTGATTCGTACGCGCTCGTCGAGATGGCCAAGACATGGAAGAATGTCAAGCCGCAGGCCCGGTACTACAGCCCTTGGATCCACGTCCACCAGGCGATCCCGCAGGGCGATGTCGGTCTCGCTGTGTCCATTGAAATCACCGAGGACATGCTCGACGAGGTCAATTTTGAGCGCATCGAACACGTCACTGTCACCATGAACGTTGAGCACACCTGCCGCGGTGACCTCAGCGTTGATTTGATCAGTCCCGACAACATTGTCAGCCACCTCTCCGCCACCCGCAAGCATGACAAGGCCACCACAGGCTACCAAGACTGGACCTTCATGAGCGTTGTTCACTGGTACGTATTCTCCGTCCCGCCGGTTTGGGCCTGTCGTTTCTTTTATGGTATTCGACGTTTTGCTAACCAGACAGGGGCGAATTTGGTGTTGGAAAATGGACGCTCGTCGTCAAGGACACCGTTGTCAACGAACACAGCGGCAACCTGACCGACTTCCACCTCAAGCTGTGGGGCGAGTGCATCGATGCCTCCAAGGCCACTCTGCTCCCCATGCCCAAGGAGACCGACGATGACGACCATGATATTACTAGTACCACTACGTTGCAAGCGTCCACCACCACGCTCCCTCCTGGTGGGCAATCTACGGGCAACTCGGTGACCACCAAACCTGGCGACCACCCCGACCGCCCCGTCAAGCCCACGTCGAAGCCCGCGTCAAAGCCCGCGTCACAGCCCACGTCGTCAACATCCCAGGGTGCTTCACCGGCCAAGCCGACAGACGGCGCCGGCGACAAGGGCGGCACTGAAGTCGAGCACGATACAGCACCCGCCGCCACAACCAGTCAGACATCCTGGCTGCCTGCCTTTATGGCCAACATGTCGACGAAGAAGCAGATTTGGATTTACGGCGCGCTAGGCGCCATTGTTGCCTTTTGTCTGGGTCTGGGCGTGTACCTGTACATGGCCCGCCGCAAGCGGCTCCGGAACGACTCTCGCGATAACTACGAATTCGAGCTGCTCGACGAAGAAGAGGGCGAGGCTCTGAACGGTGGTGGCGGCGGCGGCGGGCTCGGCAGCCACGGCGAGAAGGGATTGGGTGGCCGCAAGGGACGCCGCAAGGCCACGCGCGGCCGGGAGCTGTACGACGCGTTTGCCGATGGGTCCGAGGACGACGAGGACGACCTGGAAGGCGAAAGCAGCGGGTCTGGTAGCCATGGCCACGGGCACGGTGTCCGGCGTTTCAGTCTGAGCTTGGACGAAGACGACGATGACGACAGCTACGACGACGTCGATGCAGGGCGCCAGCGGGCGTACCATGACCGGTCCAGCGAGCACTTGCCCGCGGCGACCACCGACACGACCACCACAGCAGCAGCGCGGCGACAAGTCGCCGATGAAGAGGAGCCGCAGCACCACGTGATTGGCAGTGACTCGGACGATTCAGACGAAGACGGCGATGGTGCCGCAGCACGGCCTGGCAACAACACAAGGCTGTTGTGAGGGCACACGATAGAAGACCAAAGAGGCCAAACAAAGAACAGGAGCGTGTATGCTTGCTTGATTGTATATTTTTTCTTCTTTTCCTTTTGTGCAGGCATTTCGTTCATAGAGTGTATAATACATATTCAATACCAGTGACCAAAATTCCCAATCGCACACAACGGTTTTAGTTTCACGCGTATAGTTTTGCTTCTTCCCCGTGGATTTATAGTTGTGTTCTTTCGTCTCACATTTGTATTTTTTTCGTATTTCTTTTAAGAAAAACTTGGCATGTAAACCTGTTACAGGATTAAAAACGGATGTCATATTAATGTCGATAATGAAAGTCAACCCGGAAACGCCAACTACCGATATAACACTCCATGTGACGAGTTCAAACGCAACGAGAATACAAAACATGGAAGCAGTGCCATAGCCGCACAATTCAGAAGCCCACATCTTCAAAGCAGGAAACGATAACGCGCAACATGAAACGTCAACACAAAGGCAGCCTAGACCGCCAGCACGCCGTCCTTTTCCATCTCCCGTACATAGGCCTCCCACACGCCGGCTACGGCATCGTAGTACGCAATGTGCGCATCGGCCAGGCCGCCCAGTTGCTTCTTGAACTCGGTGCGCTTGATGCGCTCAAAGTAGGCTACCTCCTTGACGACTTCCTCATCAAACAACTCGCTCGTCTTCTTGGCCCGCTCTACCTCGGTCGTCAGCTCCTCCACCCGCAGCTCCAGCTTGCGCTGCCGCTCACGCCGGCTCTGCTCGTGGTCGACGCCGCGGACGTCTTCCAGTTTGCTGCGCAAAAAGCCGCTGGCACCCGCCAGCGCGCCACCGCCGCTGCTCGTGACGTACGAGGCGACACCACCGCCGGCGGACGCAGACCCGCCAGCGTGGGACGAGCCGGCACCGCCCGCCGCGCCGCCGCCGCCGCCGCCCACGCTGCTCTCGCCCAGACCACCACTCCCACCGCCGCTGCTGCTGTCCCTCCGCGTGCTGGACCCCCCGCCGGCAGACAGGCCGCTGTGGTAGTAGCCGCCGGACGTCTGGGCCAGATGGTCGCGGTCGGCCGTGTTTTTGTTGAGGTATTCGGTGAGCTGCTCAAAGTCGAGCTGCTTCTGCTCGCGGGCCTTGAGCAGGTTCTTGAGCGAGCCGCTGTAGGCGACCATGTCGCGCAGGCTGCTGAGGTAGTCCTGGTCGGTGATGTCGCGCAGGCCGCGCAGGCCTGCGGCGGTGTCCTCGACGGATGCGGCAAAGGCGCGCACGGCGTCTTCGACGCCCGGCTCGAGCGTGATGAGTTTCTGGAACTGCTCGGCCAGGTCCTTGAGGTCGGCCTCGAGGTCGGCCTCGCGGCGCACGACGCGGGACACGACCTTTTCGACGTGGGCGAGGTCGTCGTCGAGGCGGTCGGTCTTCTCGCGGACCTCGACGAAGCGGCGGTCGAGGCGGTGGACCTTGGTGAAGACGTTGATGAAGCTGTCGGCAAAGGCGTCAAACATGCTGCTGGTCACACCCTGTTCGCTGCCGCCGCCACCCGCGCCGCCGCCGCCCGAGCTGCCGCCGCCAGGCCCACCGTAGCCACCACCGGCACCGTAGCCGCTGCCGTCCGCGGACGACACACGCACCGAGTGGCTGCGCATGGTGGCATTCCACTCGCCCGACTCGAGGAAGATGTGCAGCAGCGGAGCGCGGCGCAGGTCCGGATGCAACGACAGACGGAAGAGGAAGCGCTGCAGGGAGTAGGCGCGGCGGTTGGTGAAGTCGGGGCCAAAGCGGTCGCCCGTGACGCGGACCATGCGCTGCTTGTCCGGGATGGGCGGCACGGCGGTGGCGGGATAGTCCCTGCAGAGGGAGTTGTAGAGGTACAGGAAGTCGGTGAAGCGGCGGCGGACGGACACTGTCGGCTTCTGGAACGTGGGAAAGGTGGACGTTGTCGTCACGAGATAGGAGGTGAAGGGGTTGCTGCCGCCCTCGTTCTCGGTCAGCGGCGAGGAGACGCGGCACTGCAGGATCTCGGGCCCAAGCGCCGCAGCATCGTGCTCGTCGTAGTTGATCTCACCAGCGTCTCGGCTTCCGCCGCCACGGCTGCTGCTGCTGGCTGGCTGTTTCTGCTTCTGTTTCTGCTTCTGTGTCTCCTTCTGTCGTTCGTCGCCGCCCGGCAACAGCGGCTGCTCAAAGTCGTCGTCGGCCATCCTCGATCTGTTTACGTTGCTGCTGTTCTTGGTCTTGCTTGCTGCGGCGTCGTATGTAGTGCTGTTGTCGTTGTTGTCGTTGGCGATGACGCCTTCGTCGTCGGTGCGCTGATCGCTGTTCCAGGAGATGTTGGAGAAAGTGTCCTGGTCAATGACGGCCATAGCGCCAGGAGGGTTTTGGTAAAAAAGAAATGTCCGACGTACGGAGTAGATGGCAAGTGCAATCGTACGCTGAAGGAGCGACGGGGGAAAATGGGACAACGGGAAAGAGCGCTGTTCACGCGTGGGGAGTGCAGGGAAGGTGCGATAGCTTGGTTGGATGGTGGCGGTTTCGGCTAGCTGCTGTAGAAGGTATCTAGAGGGGTAAGAGCGGCCTGGCCGGGTTGGCGCTGGTCAGGTCAATGGTTGTTGGGGGGAAGGTGCGAATTGTGGTTGTAGGATCGGATCCAATTCGGTGTCGCCTTACGTTTCGCGTGACAGCATCAGAAGAAGGAGGAAGGGACGACAGAGAAAGGCATCCAAGGACAGAAGCAGGGAAGGTGGAAGCCAAGGGAAAGCGCTGGGCTAGGCAACGGGGAAACAGCGACCGAAGACGAAGCTCGGGCAAACCAAGCACTATTCAGCAGCACGAGGCAGCCACGGACAGGTGCCAAACCGGCTGACGTAGTGGGCGGGGTGGTTTCTGAATTGCAGTGGCTGGTGAAACGGGGCTTGCGCGTGCTAGTGAATTTGGTCGGTGCGGATAGGCAGCTATGCTTTGGATGAAGCCATTTTGGCTGTGGAATATGCTGCCAAAAACCACGACGAATGTCTCAGTTGTCTCAGTTGCTTACGACACAACGCAGCACCAACCAAAACAGAAAAGAGTATATGGAGTATTTCGTACAGCGTGCATGCAATGTTAAAGCGGAATTCTATTGTGAATTTGGCCCCTCTTTGTTGTCCAAGGAGCAATGGTGATTCTTCTATCCTGAGCCATCCTCGGTTCATTCGCCAAACCCATGTATCCCTGTAAGATCATACCCTTCCATCCTATATAATGCCAGTATTTTTGTAGTGTTTGTTTTGTCCCATTTTTTTTCGGTTTGTTTGTCTGTTTGATATCGTACAGAGAAGTGTATGGTAAGCCGGTCGATGGCCGCTCTCGTCCCATTTCGCCTCGCAAGGGAAAGGGGTTGTTAAAATGTAGACATGAGAAAAATGACGTAAAGAACAAGGAAATAATAAAAATTCAAACGTCAGATGATGAAGGGAGATGCATGAAGAGACGAAACGAAAAGGAAAATGGGAAATAAAAATGCATGGTGTGCGTATCAGTCGGTGTAGTTAAAAAAACAGCCTTGTAAAAAGTCGATTGTTTGTGAATAAGTGCGGCCGTACAAGACGAGAGAAGAAAGAATAGAATGCAGAAGCGAATAGGGCGAGACAACCGACCAGACACCAGGCAACGATCAGTTTACTCGGCCTTCTTTGCGTCCTTGGCCGCGTCGGCCGCCGCGGGCGCCTGCGCCTGGCGGCCGGCGTTGGCCCGGTCCTGCTCGGCGTCAATGGCCTCGGTGGCCTGGGCGGTGGTAATGTTGGCATCCGCCTCGGCGTGCAGCTGGCGCTCCTCCTTCTCGTCAATGTCTTCGACGTCTCGGGGCGTCGCAAAGCCCGTCTCCTGGTTCTCCTGGTTCTGCTCGGCCTCGTCCTCAATCAGCTCCTCCTGCTCCTTGAGCACCTCGAGACGCTGCTTGTTGGTGGCGGCGCCCTCGGCGTTGTGGACCTCGAGCTCAATCTCGTGGAAGAGCTCCTCGGGGATCGACGACAGCACGCCCGTCAGCGCCTCGATCTGCGTGTCGACGGCGCTGACGCTGCTGCTGCTGCCGGCCGGCGACGAGGTCGTGGCCGACGACGTCTGGCCGTACATGTAGGCGTTGCTCAGCACGAGCAGCGTCGAGGGCACGCCCTCCTTGAGGCGCAGGTCCAGCCAGGTCTGCAGGTCCTCGCGCAGACGCGCGGGCGACACGCCGTACGACTGGATGCCGCGGCTGGCGCAGGCCGTCTGCAGCTCGCCCACGGTCAGGCTGTCCACGCCCTCGTAGCTGATGGCGCGGTCGTCGCGCTTGATCTGGCGCATGCGGTGGCGGATCTGGTAGCGCAGCATCATGTCGGTGCCAAAGGTGTTGAGGTTGAGGTAGCGGCACATGGAGACCAGCTGCGGCCGCGACAGGTTGTCGAGCGTGACGTCGTCCTTGAAGATCTTGCACACCTTGATCACGTCGTCGGCCGTGGGCTTCTCGCCGGTGGCGCGCACCTTGCGGAAGAAGTTGGTGAACTCGGCGCGCTGCGTGGTCGCCGCCTGGATCGGCAGGCCCGTCTCCTTGAGGGTCAGGCGCAGAAAGTCGCTGACCTCCTTGCGCGTGGCACGCAGGAACGAGGCCTTCTTGTCGCGCGACGTCTTGCCCTCGTACGTGCTGGGCAGCAGGTTGGGGAACAGGCGCAGGGCGATGGGCAGCAGCAGCTCGGCAAAGGGCACAATGACAAACACGGAGAAGGGCACGAGCCGGCCCAGGTCCTGCACGGTGCGCTGCAGCTGGCGGTTCTCGCGGCGGGTGAGCTCGTAGCCGGCCGCCATCTTGACGGCCAGGCGCGTGCTGATCTTGACCTCGGTGGCCAGCAGCTTGGTGCCGTCCCAGTAGTGCTGCGCCTCCTTCTTGATCTTTTGGCCGAGCGTCAGCTTCTTCTCCTCCTTCTTGCCCTCTTTCCCCTCGACGTCGACACCGGTCGCGTCAGCGTCCGCAGACGTGGCAGTGACAGCTGTTGGCGCAGAGGCATCGGATGACGACGGAGCGGCAGCCGTTGTGGATGTGGCGCCCTTGGACGACGACGTCTGGGCAGTGCTTGGCGATGCGCTGCTGCCGGGGGACGACTGGGTCTGCGTAGCGTTCGAAGCCTTGGCGGCGGCAGCCTTCTGGCTCTCCTTGGAAAGAGGAATCTTAGCCTTTTCTGGGTCAAAGCCGGGTGGCGGACCGGACGGCGGGCCGCCGGCGGATGTGTGCGTGTCGGTGGACAAGGCGCGCATGGGCACGCAGAGCGCGAAAGCGACGTTGTTGCGGGCGCCGAGGTTCCGCGAATTGTGCATTAGGTGCATGGAGGCGGCGCGCATGGCGGTCCGGGGCATGTTGCGGCCTGGAAGGGGAGAGGAGAGTCTGTTAATTGGGGCCACAAAGGGGGAAGAGATTCATAACATAAAAAAAAGGTACATGCGCAGCAAGGACGCAATGCGACATACCTCGTCCCAGGAACGGGTTGTTGGAGGCCGTGGCCCGGCGGGCGGCATTGAGAGACACGCTCATGATGGAGCAACGGTTGACCGAAGATGTAGAGCCGGCGATGGGCGCAGATGCTGTGCAAGATGGAAGAGGTCGATGTAGCTATTTTGGACTACAACTGGAAAATGCGCAGATGTCGGGGTCTAGGCGAGGAAGACGCCGGATGGCAGCGGAAGAACAGGACGTCGACAATGACAAGTATAATGGAACGCACGGAATGTTCGGCAAGGCGTGCAGAACGTTGCGATGGCGAGAGGTGCAGGAAGATGAGCTGCTGTTCGGGTGGTGTTTGTCGAGGAACGGAAGTGAAGGCACAAGGATGGCAGAAAAAGGACAAGAAAGAGGCGGAGGGACAAAGGAGTGAAAAACAGCGTAAGGCAGGAGGACAAAAGGCCTAGAAGAGGCAAGACCCAGGCGAGCCAGCTGGCTCCGGGCGGGTAATAAGCCCCAGGGCGTCCCGTCATGCTCCTGCCTTGTCAACCAATCGGCGCAAGAGTCGTGGGCGCTGAGTAGCTCGTTCCGTTCGAGGGAGAGTCACGTGCAGCCCCACAGTGCGTGGCTCTTGCTCTTCTGTGAGTTTCCGTTTCGGTTCCTGTTCCAGAAACTGGGCGAAAAGCGGGTCCGCTGTGGAAGAGGCCATACGATGTATGTACGAATTACGTACCTCGTGCTGGGGCCGGCCTGGAGAGAGGGAATGCGCTGACGGATGGCGGGCAGTAGTGGCCTGGCCCTGCTTAACTACCAAGTTCCCAAGAAGATGTACGGAGCACGGAGTTTTTGTCCTAGCTAAACGGAAAGCACGTATGTAATGAAAGAAAGCGGATGAAACGGGAAATAGCACAACCGACAAAAGAGGAAAGACGTGGGATGCAACAGAAGATAGTGGACACACATAATCCGACTTGGACGCAATGCGGCGGTTGTGACGCTGGAAAGCGTGCCGTCTTGCTGTGTTGGTGGTTTGAACGCCGCCGTCTGCCCGGAACCACCGGGTGGCAGCTCCAAGTACGTGTATGTTACGACTTACGGAGTGTGCTGGCACAAGACGGAGTTGGGCCTTTCGGCATTGCTTGTTTCCGGTCCTTGGCTTCTTGGGCCGATGACCACCTGTGGCATTCTTTCAAGTTTACTTTGCCCGGACCATGGGAAGCTATGTTCCTGTTCAGCCAAGCGTCTCCCAGGCGGAAAAATGATGTAAGCCTTTGCTTGCCCTTGCTCCTTGGCATATCTGTAGAGTGCCTGTGCTAGTGTTTTAGCCCCTCGAGCCCCTGTCTTGGTCGAACGAGCAGCGAGCTCAACAGTTGGCAAGGCCGCCCCGCCCCGGAGCATGCTCGAGGTGTGCTTGCGAGAACCCGAAAACGAAACAATTTAATCTCGAGTCTCTTGTTAGGAGATGAAGTATCTCGACATTGCAGGATCGCTCCTTCCTCAATCCTAACCTGTCTTTGCTGCCCGAGCTCTTGCCGCCTCATCTCTGCGCTTGTGTTAATCGAATATCCCATGCCTAGCTGCAGGGTCTCTTTATTTGCCGCCTACTTGCCGACCCGCTGACATCGACTTGCCTGCCGGTCTAGCTACCTGGCACTTGGCGTAGTCGTTGTTATTTTGCTGTTCAACACGGAGTAATGCGACAGTCGGTTGGGTGCATCGCTCCTTCCGATGTGATGTCGCCGTGACAGCTGCATCTTAGGCCGTTCCTGCTTTCTGTGGACGGACAAACTAATTTTGGCATCTTTGCGGTTGCCGTATTTAATCTTGGAATTTGGAAGCTGCCCCTCATCCCCGGGTCTTAGACCGAGGCAAGTGCCGCTCTATATTCTGTACTTTATACTTTGATCGCTCCTGCCCACTTAGCACAGACCCCCAATTCAGCAAGAGCTTCTTCCGTCTGGATGCACTCCACCAATTCGCGTCCCCCGTCTCCCAGCGCCCCAAACATGGCTCACACCACAAACCCGATGCCGGACCTGCCGCCGCCGCCGCCCGTGTCCCGACGCACCATCCCCGTGGCCGGTCTGCTGGTCGACTTTTACGGCCTCGACGAGCTGCCGGCAGACACCGAGTCCGTCTCGGTGCTGTGGCTGCACCACCCGCGGCTGCGGTCGCGCGAGGACATGGCCGACATTGGCGCGCGGTGCGTGCAGGTGGTGGCCGATGAGAGCGCCACGACGCGCACGAAACACCGCCTGGTCGCGGCCGCGTTCGACCAGCGCAACCACGGTTCGCGGCTGGTGTCGCCGCGGGCGAACGCGGCGTGGCGCGAGGGCAACACGACGCACGCCCAGGACATGTTTGGGATGATTGCCGGGACGGTCTCGGACACGCACCTGCTGATTGACCTGGTGGACGGGTACCATCACCACGACGGACACGACGGCCGGGGACAGGTGAAGGCAGGGCCGGGGAGCGAGCCCGCGCAAAAGAAGGGCCACGCCGCCTCGGACGAGAGAGACGCCGCCTATGCAAGCGGCATTCTGCCGGCCCACGTGGCGGTGACGCAGCATGTGGTGCTGGGCGTGTCGCTCGGCGGGCACAGCGGGTGGCAGCTGCTGTTTGCCGACGAACGCGTCACGGCGGGTGTCCTCATTATCGGGTGCCCAGACTATATTGGTATGTTTTCATGTTGTCTTGTTTCCTGTCCAGCGCTTCATCATCTGCGTCCTGGGCATGCTTCCGCTAACCGTGCTAGATCTCATGGTCGAGCGCGCCCGCCTTTCCAAGCTGGCCACGTACAAGGCCGCTGCCGAGGGCGGCCCGCCGTTCTTGGGCAGCCGCGATTTCCCTGCGGCACTCGTTGGCTCCGTCCTCAAGCGCGACCCCAAGGGTATTGTATTCGGCACCAACGCGGCCGTGTGGCCGTCGACGGCCGACGGCGAAAAGGCCGTGCACGACACCTTGCAGAAGCACGTCGTCGGCAAGCGGTTCCTCGTGTGCTCAGGCGGCGCGGACAAGCTGGTGCCGTACAAGAACGGCAAGCCGTTTTTGGACGTGTTTAAGAAGGCGGCGGCGACGTGGCCGGACCTGAGGCTGTCGGTGACAGACAAGATATACGATGGTATTGGACACCAGTTCAGCTCGGACATGGTCGTGGACGCCATCCAGTTTGTCGTGGAGACGGTGGCGGACGCGCCGGCTGCAGATGGCGGTCAGAGTCCAAAGACGTCAAAGATATAATGGGATCATGACACACTCGGTGAGCAAACAGAACAGAAAATAAATAAAAATAAAGATAAAAACTGTTTATAGCATGGTCTATCATTGCATTCCATCGACCGCCACATGACCCAGAAACGTGCCAACGACCGTTTCAGCTGTTCCACGGCCGCGGAACGTCATCGTCCAGGGCCTCCATATCGATGCCCACCATCCGCGTCCGCAGTCTGCTGCGCTGCCGTTCCTCGTCGTCCACAAACAACAGCTGGCTGATCTTCCACGGGTTGCGTGCCCGTCGCTTGCCGGCGAGAAGGTCGCCGACGCCGTGCGGATCCTCGGTCCAGTGGTCGACGACGGTGTGCGCGCCCGCCATGGCCTTTTGCTTGTCTTGGGACACCGACGCCTTGCTGTTGCTGTCGCTGCTGTCGCTGCTGTCGCTGCTGTCGCTGCTGTCGCTGCTGTCGCTGCTGTCGCTGCCGTCGTTGCTACTTTTGTTGTCCTTGGGGTGTGCGTTGCCAAACTCGGCCGGTAGGTTCGGCGGGTTGATGCCAATAAACGCTACACGGCTCTCGACTGGGAGGAACCCAATGGCGTCGGGCCCGCAGTGGCAGTCGACCAGGCGGGACAGTTTGAAAGCATGGCTGACAATCGTGAGCCGAGCTGGCCAGGCAGACGAGGCTGGCAGAGGAGACGAAGCAGCCGCGGTAGAGGCGGCCAGCTCGTGGACGTGCCTCCAAAAGGCAACGAGGCTGAAGAGGATGTTGTAGTACGAGTCGAGGGCTTGTTCTTCGACCAGAATGCGCCGGTGGAGCGGAATCGGCGAGAGCGGATGCGCGCCCTGTTGTTGCTGTTGTTGCTGTTGTTGTGCGTCACCAGCGTCTGGCAGCAGTCCAAAGTAGTCGTTGGCGGCTGCTAGATTGGCATAGCTGCGGGCTTCAGACAGCGGCGTCTCTTTGCGTGTGGGACCGCCCGAAAAGGCCACAACGGCACGCCCGTCGTCCGCCAGCGCCTGGATGCCAGCTTTGATGTGCTCGATGAACGTGGGCGTCTCGCCGGCCTTGTAGCTCTCAATCAGCCACTCGGCCTCGTCATGGCCGCGCGCCGGTCCGCCGCGCCAGATGCCGTGGCCGCACACCACCACGAGATGATTGGGAAGCGGCGGTGATGTTGTCATCGTAAAGAGCAAGCGCTGTAACAATCGATTGGCACGCACATTGGGAAGGTTAAATAGCCTCGCTTTTGTTGAAGGGTGTGTATGGAGTAGCAGTAGTAGCCATGGGTTGAGCGTATGTGTGTACAGACGATATAATAAACACGGTGTTATACCCGCCGAATAACCTCAACAACCTCCCTGCAAATCGCGGCCCGTCTTTGGGGGCCAAGCACCGGCGCTACACAGCCTGGCACATGCGCTAAGCATGCCTGCACAGGTGTGCACGTCCTGTGCACCGTCTGCGCCACAGCAAGTATGCACGCGGTTATAAGTATATAGCTCTAAGCGTACGGCCTCATCCATTAACGAGGGACACAAAGAAGGAGGCCCCAAACAAGTTCTAACAAGTGTTGTAAAGTCCTCGAAAGGTAATGTGGCTCTCTGTAGTTCTTACTGCCTATACTACCATAAACGTCTATAAATATGGTACTATCCCGCACTAGAGGCTCGCTGGATTTCCTCCTCCTAATCAAGACCATCTAGTGTGCCCTTTTTCATTCTAAAGCTTCACTTTGACAGAAAGCCGTCTTACGCATCAGCCGAATCATGAGTTCTCGCAGTTTAACCTGGGGCCGAAGAGCAACTTATCCAGACGAAGCTATCGCGTTTACTTTAAAAAACGGGCTCCCTAATGTTACAAAGGCACTTCCCAAGGGAGAGAGTCTCTGCTAGGTGATCAGGCTAGGGAGGGGGTTCTTGTTCTTATAAAACAATGAGAAGGTGTAACGGTCGAATAATAATCAACACGTATGATGGGGCTTGACATATCCAATCGATATTTTTTTCCCCTCAAATACGCAGTGCGCCCAAAATCTTCTGGACAGCCTGTTCGTCTCCTTGTATCGTATTCTCCTTGTCGCTGTCCACCCACCCATTTGTCCATCCGCCCCCAAAGTCAATTAGCCACAAGTCGCCGACAGGGGCTTCTTCTTCCCCATGCACAGCCCCCGTCAGGTCGTCGGCCCCGCCAACGCCGACAATGAGATTGCCCGTTTTCCCGTCGCCCCAGACAAGACCCAGGGCGTGCAGGGCGTCCACGGATGCGCGGAGCTGCCGGGCCCATCGCTGCTTGTGGTGCGCAGCGAGTGGCTTACGCTTCCCGCGCTTCTCGCGCTTTAACACATTGGATAGCCTCTCGCCTGATATCCACTCGCGGACAAAGCCGACGATGCGCTGGTTCTCTGGGTGTGTGACCAGGCCGACGAGACGCGGCGTGAACACGCGCATGGACTCTGCCGGCGCAGAAAACGTTGATGCCTGATATTTGTGTTCGTGCAGCGCCAAGAGGCACTCAAGCTCGCGCCGCAACGTAGGACTTGCTATGAGGCCGGCCGAGTATTCCGTCGCTTTACAAAGAAGATCGTTCGAGGCCGTGTAGATGTCGTGGCTGTCGACGTCGTCCCCGTTGTTGCGTGGCACGACACGGACACGCGTTACGGTACCACCACTAAGGATCTCTTCGATAACGTTGATGTCGTTTGTTGTGTACCGCGGAAAATGATACAGACGGGATAAGAGCGATTGGATTTCCTCAACACTACCATCAACGTAGTCTTCGGAAGGAGGCGCCCAGCGGTCTTGGACCTCGCTTAGGGACATGGGTACAATCTTGGGCTGTGTATCGGGGGCCTCTCTCCGAAAGGCAAAATAATGTGTCTTGGGGTAGAGCAGCGAGTGGAGTCTGCTGTTGCCTTGATGTGGCGACGGCGCGGGAGCCTTTGGGGCGACGCGCCGAAATTCTTCCTCTCCCGCCGGCTGGATGATGTCGAGAATTGCGGTGGAGACGGTGTTGTGTGTATCAACGGAAATTTGGCTAATCAGATCAACAACGCGTTTCTCTATGGAGCTTTCCTTAGACTCGAGGGGCGCCAAAACCGTGATCGAAATCAGCTCGTCGTTGAAAAGCAGCATAATGTCGGCTTCAAATTCGTCTCCGAAGTGCAGTTGGATGATGTCGACATTGTCCCCGTCATAGTCGTCTCCGTCAAAGTCGTTTCCGTCAAAATCGTCCTCGGTGTCGCTTGAACCGGAAGGAGAATGCGTTTCGTGTTTTATTTCGTTTTCCATTTTTATCTTCTCCGCGTTGTTCTTATTTCGATTGTTTTTGTTGTTGTTGTTGTTGTTGTTGTTAGGGAGTGAAGGGAAGGGAGGCTGGCGTTTTTTTAAATCCGTGTTTTAGTTTCGCGGGCTGGGCCGCCTTTAAATCGAGCAGCCGATGGGTTGATCCTTGTTCCTGAGGCACTTAGATAGGAGAAAGTGGCGCTGGAGGCAGATTACGAGTCAGTGCACGCCCAGCGAAGCGGGATACACTTCATTACCTGGCCAGACTCTACCAAACAAAGCTGTGGGAGATGTCAGACCACCCTTTTTTTTTTTAATCATAGACTGTCCCAGCCGCCCTGTGGCAGCTATGCAGTAGTGTGCGACTATTAATACTGGTTCTCCCGCATCCCGTTTTCCGGATTCAACTTTCCCCCTTCAAGAATTGCCCGTCTTGTACACGAAGCCGTTCGTCCAAGAGGTGTTGTCCGTCTAACGAGATGTGGGAGCTCCAGCATTAACAGCCTTCCTATCTGTTCTATCTATGAGGTCTTGTCAGGCCCTGCCGGCGGTGTGTTCCGATATGGGCTTTGAGTGTTGCTTTACCCGGCCGAATCCCGGGTCGATGGAGTTCCCTTCCGTGCTTTGCCTTTTCCCATGCTTCCTTCCACTCGCGTTGCATGGCCTGGCGGATCGAGAGTTTTGTCGTGGCCATGAGTAATTTTTGAGTGGGTTGCCCAGAGCTGCCGCGGGGGTCGGAGCCGCCTTCTTTGCCGCTTGATCTGCCCATGGCCGACCCTATGGATGTCGAGTACGATCTGTAGGGCCAGTAGCTTGAAGGTCTGCCGCGTACACGTTGACGTAGATATCGGTCCCATGTATTGTCGTCTCCTCGCACCCAGTCCTCCCGTTGGTGTAAGTGCGACGGCGGCGGCCCCTACGTGCCCGTTGATCGCGCTGCCGTCGGTAAACAACCGTATATTTACATGATGAGGATGCTTGGGCTGTGGCATGCGGCAGCCGGAGGGCGTGTGTCGAATTGGCCGTCGTGTCTCTTATAAAGTGCACCAGCTCGTATTTTGCCCGGTTAAACTGGCATCCATGCTTGGCCGCCCAGTCTGTAACGGCGTAGGGCCGTTGAGGCTGGGCAGGCAGAGGCACTGCCCAGGGTGTAGGCACGGGGCCCGGGAATAGGGGCACGCTCCTGATCAGAAGTCTCACCGCCCGGACTTTCTTCTTTCCTTTCTCTCCTTTCCTTCGGTATCTGGAAGTTTCGTTAGAATTGAGCTCCATTGCCTCGAGGCTACCTGTGCTTTGCCAGCTAGCCCGTTACATCACTGTCACAGAGCAAGCGGCCGTCATTCAGTTGCAACTTTCCGAGATACACTTAAGCGTAACTCTTATTGTAAGATGTTGGCCTAGTACAAGTAGAAGGTCCTGTGGCTGTGCCTCCAGCACAACAGGCACAGCGAGCACAGGTGGAACAGGGAGCACAAGCACAGGGGAGCACATTCGCTAAGCAGCTTGGAGCAGGGACGGCGCAGGGGCACGTCCAAAGAAGGAAATTTCAAGTGAGGGTTTTCGGTTCGTATATTGGGCTGATTTATTACATTGCCGACTTCGCCGAATCATGTGACCAGTATTAAAGGGACTAAAGCGGGATATCCCTGCGTCACAACACGGACACTCGCGGCAGCCCGGTTTCGCCGCCTGACTGGCGCAGGAGACGGAGTGTATCCGATACTAGGTAGAGACTGCCGGCAATCACAACCGGGTAGCCGTGACCACCGTCGGCCGTCGCCCAGCGGAGCGCTGATGCGAGACTGTTGGGATCATGGACGATGCTGCCCTCCTCGATTACAGACTGGGTGGTGGGGTGCTGGTCCGTCTCTGCGTTCAAACCCAGCTCTGTTGCGCGCTTTAGAATGGCACTGGGTGCCGCCGGCTTCACCCATGGCATACCATCCACAGGGCCGAATGTGACGGCCGCCACGCGGTCACCTGGCCGTAACAGTGGCCGCAGGATCTCGTCAAGGTCCTTGCCCTGCGAGGCAGCAAGAATCCAGGTGATGGGCCCGCTACTGTGACCGCCGCGCAGGTGCTTGTTGACGTAGGCTGCCAGGGCATCGGCGGACTGCGGGTTGTGTGCGCCGTCGAGGAGGACTGGAACCTTGTTTGGTATATGGTCGTCATCGGCATTGCCTTTCGCCTTTAGCAGTGGGGCAACATCGAGCTTCTGCAGCCGACCGGGCCAGCGCAGCTGTTGTGCAATAGACGCAAGAAACTCCGTGTCAGGTTCATTTTCGGCGTCGGCGGTTGCGTCTGCACTACCAACATTACCGTCTTTACTGCCTATCTGGCCCGTGGCAATCTGGAACGCCGCATAAGCGCATGCCAAGTTGGTCAGCTGGTGCGGTTCAAGTCCCAGCCGGGCCACGGGACGCGCCAACCCCCCACTGGCGTTGGCGCTGTGTCCGCCTCGCAGGAGCAACAACGGGTCCGGGTACACGAGCGGTGCGCCGACCGCCTTGGCCCGTGCCTCCAGCACGTCCCGCACGGCGTGGTCGTCGCGGTTGGCCGGGTCCACGACGCAGGGCACGCCTGGTTGCATGATGCCCGCCTTGTGCGCCGCGATAGCCGCTGTGGTGCTGCCTAGCAGTCCTTGGTGGTCGAGGCCGATGCGTGTGACGATCGTGACGGCGCGCTCCGCACGCATGGCCGTTGTAGCGTCGAGGCTGCCGCCAAGACCACACTCCACGACACCGAATCCGCCGCTGGGCAGGACCGCGTTGAATACCTCAAAGGCCGTTGCTGTCAGCAGCTCAAACTCCGTGGCGCCAATCTGCTCGGCTCGGTCGCGTTGGAGGACAGCCTCTTCGGCACTGTGGAAGGTGGCCTCGGGCACCACGCGCTCATCAACGACCACGCAATCCCAGCGGTCGACAAAGTGCGGCGACGTGAACCGCGCTGAGGGCACACCGCGCGCATGGAACATCGCCGACAGATACGCGCAGACAGAGCCCTTGCCGTTGGTGCCGGCAACGTGGACGGCTTTCCACGCCCGTGGCGGTGCGTGCTGCAGTAGCCGTCCGATACGAGCAAGGCCGAGGTCGATCATTGTCGGAACAAGGCAAAGCGATGTGGTGTGGCGTGGTTGCGACGTGAAACGAACGCGATATGACGAGCTTGTGAATGATCGGGTGAATCTGATGTCTGTGCGATTTTATATATCGGCTGGACCCACTATTGTTGGCCAGTGTCGTTAGTTAGTCTGCCATACACTATCGCTGGGCGAGCTCTAAGCGCACAACCTTGAAGCTTATCTCACCTTCACCTCATTCCGTCCAGAGTTATCACAGAAAACAATAAAAAAACACGAAACAAGAATACGCATGCCTAATTGCTAAACGCGGGCCTTGCCCTTGCCGTCAACTTTGATGCACCTACAAAGAGGAAATGCGGTCCATGACAGTATAAAGAATCAAAACATGCCACCGTTCCCTTTTGCTCGTCATCTGCTAAATCTACCCGACTCCGGAATCCCCAAAACGGAAATTGAATCGAAAAAGGACAACGAGAAAAGAAAAATAAGTGTCATATAAAGTTGTATGGAACGGATGCACGCCCCTGTGAATGCTATGCGGGATTAAGTAGAGAGACACACACAGCCCATAGGACATGAAATAGGCGCGCGAAAAAAGAAGTCCAAAACAAAACAGAACAAATGAAGTAATGAGAACTAGTAGCGGCTAGGACTCTCTGGACTCCCTCCTCTATCCCGTACGGTATCGACTAGCTCGCTGTCCTGCGCAAGCATATCACGATCGTCACGATCAGGAATAAGCAGCAGCGAGCTAGACCGAGAGGCAGCGCCCGCGTATCGCCGCCGCTGCCGAGCGATATCCTAGGACCACTTGACATCGGCACTGGGCGCTCGTGTACGGCGTCGGTTGCTCACTTTGACCTCGCTGCCCGCGCCGTGACGGCTGCCGGCCCCACCGGTGCCGTTAGCATTGGTCGCAGCAATGATGCTGGTGCGTCGATCGCTGCTGCTGCTGCTGCTGCCGGTGCCGCTGCTACCGCCGTGGCCAGTCATTCCACTGCCGAGAGCCGACAATCGCTCGACACGCTCTCCTGCCCCCGCAGCCACGGCCGACAGGCCGAGTCCCAGCCCCAGTCCGCCAGCCATCGAATACCGCCCACCCACATTCTCCTTATTCGACATGGAGCTATCCGATCGGCTGATAATGGCTGGCCCGAGGCTCGACCGGCTGCCGTGGCGACCGTGGCCCATGGGCTGACGAGGAAGCCGGCTTCCCCCACCATTCGTAGGCGTCGTAGACGTCATTGTCGAGCCGTTGGTGCTGGAGAGTGACGCAAGGCTGCTGTTGCTCGCGCTCCCAATCCCACTAACCTTGGACAGCGAGGAGACGCTGCTTCCACTGCTCGAGTCGCCGCTGACGCGCCGGGGAATAGCCGATACACCGTCTCGGCTCCGTGGCCGGTATGCTAGGGCATCTCGCTCGTGGGCCAACGCCACAGCCGACCTCCGGTGCGTTGCTGCCACCTCGATCAAAGCCGGGCTCGCAGATGACAAGGACGATTGTGAGTGCTGGAGCGCGCGGTACTGGTTGTACTGGCTGTGCCGCTGGTTGTGCGCTAGGGCTGCTGCACCGTTGTGTGTGGGCGTCAGGGGTGCAGACACGGACGACTGTAGTCCCGGCGGCGTGTAAAGTGTTGTCCGGCGTTGCGCACCGGGTCTTGCTCTCGAGGAGCTCGGTGCTGCCATGGACGATGCATTGTTGGTGGCCATCGCCATAGCGGCCGCATCGGGCGGAACGTCAATGTGGGACCGCACAAGCTCTGCAGCCAAGTTCCGCACCAGAACGGCCGAGTCCTTCTCAGCCAGCTTCTGGACAGCCTCAAACAGGATCGAGAGGTGCATGCGGCCCGCCCGTGTGGAGCTGACGCCCATGTCGGCGCCCGAGTTGTCCATAATGTTGCGTACAAGACGCAGGAGGTTCAGC